TCTCTCTCTTCCCCCCCTCTCTCTCTCTCTCTCTCGCTCTCGCTCTCTCTCTCTCTCTCTCTCTTTCTCTCTCTGCTCACCAGCTCATATCCCTGACAATGTAAGAATTTAGTTGCTGGGTAAACTTACCAGCTCAACTATCACTATCACTATCACCATTAACTGTATTAGTCTAATAGGATAGCGTTCACCTCCGCCTTGGTGCAGACTCACCGTCTGCTTGCTTCAAGAAGAACCAGCAGAGGCTTCACACTCTGCCTCATAAGATGCTTGCGAAGCCGAGATGAGATGTACGAGTGCGATAGAGAACAACAAGCCACGGGATATGATTTCTTTATCTTCCCGTCTGTCTAGGACATCTATTGTTGTCTATGAGCAATATTACGTTCCGACCTCATATAATATTTCTATTGCTACGCATACTTTTCGCCTACTTTATGTTAGATAAATAACCACCCCGCATGTATGGCTTGATACAGCAGCTTGTGTCTCTTAGTGACACTTCAAACACGATTATCCTCTCCTGACAGACTGACAGTGCGTAAAACGATCCCAAAAAATGCCTCGTTAAAAGAAAAAACTCGAATCCACACAACTCCGCTTGAGAACACACGCAGGGAAACACGCATATACGCACGCGCGCACACATAGCACGTACTCGAGTGTTAGAACTGGAGTTAGGCACCACCCTGTACACCACCATTGACCGCTGCATAGAACATAGAACATATCCCTCTAATCTAGCCAGCCTCCAGGCGACCTGATGCGCCGAGGAGGAATGTGAAAGATGTTGTGAAGGATGCTAAAGGATGGTAAAGCATGTTGAAGGATGCTGAAGAATGCTAAGGGATGCTGAATGATGTTTTTTTAAAGATGCTCAAGGATGCTAAAGGGTGCTAAAGGATGCTTAAGCATGTTGAAAGAATCTAAGGGATGCTGAAGAATGCTGAAGGCTACTAAATGATGCTAAAGGACGCTAAGGCATGCTGAAGGTTGCTGAAGGATGCTAGAGTGGGGATTCATCGCGGCCAGGCCCCGCATCTCGCTGCAGCGGTATACGACGAACAATGCTTAATTAACGAAGCCCCCCCCCATCCCCGGTGCGTGCTGCATTAACGAACGACTCTCTGTTAACGCGACTAAAACGCTACGAATGCAGAGATACGTACAGCTGCATGCGTGCGTGATCCACTC